CAATTAAGAGCTCATACTTGGAGAAACTTTCTTAGAGGTGTCTCTTAACCTATTTTTTATAATACCAAGCGAAAAATAATATATTCGCTTTTTGTTTACCCACTCGAATGTACCTGCATTTGAATCGAAAAATGTCGTCTGAATTAAAGTGTTTCTACGTATGTATAGTATATACAATATGTACATATGTAGATATACATATATATGTAAATACATGTGTGCATACATACTTGTATGGATTAGTTTTTAGATTTAAATGTGCAGCAATAAACGCTTGCCTTTATAGTAAAACATAGTCAAAAGAATAAGTTTTCGCATACTACATTATATGTATAAAGGCATGTATGTATATGCATATGTATGTATGAGCGTATGTGTTAATGCAAAAATGTATGCTCATACTGTTATGTATCATAGCAGCGTGCAAAAAATTTATTCTATTTTTAAGGTCAACAGGAAAACTGTAAAACTTGTCTAATGAGTTTGACTAAAATACCGCAAACACACACACACAAATAAGTCCACTATGTTCACACACATACATATACAACCACTATAAGGCATAGTAGGATCACCATTGTTCACTTACACCGTTTCTGTTAAAATTATTTTTTGTTGTTGTATGTATTTTTTTTTTCAGTTGCGCGAATGTGACAAATAAGTTAATAAACTTTTAAGTGTTCATTAAGGAAATGCTTAAATAGAATTATACTCGCTCAAGTAGGTGTTTATGTGCCTGGCTGTCGAATTGCGCGGAATTTATGCATTTTATAAAATTAAATGTCAGGTTCAAGTTGAAGAATAATCTAGTGGGTGGGGGCAATTACTTAGATATACGCCCGGTATGTTCGAGAAACTCGTTGCTAGGCGTTGAAACATTCCAGAGCATAAAAAATTTCTATAATTCCGTTTAATACAATGCTGAGCTGAATATTAATATTTTAATAATTAATTAATATAAAAAAATAATTTTTCAAAATTTAAAAATAAGTAAAAATAATTAAAAAAAAGATTTTTGAAAGTAATTTTTGATGTGATTATTATAGTATTTCGAAAATTAAAGGTTAAAAGTAAGTAAAAGTACTATTTTGGGAAACCACTTTTTTGAATTAATATTAATTTAATAAATAATTAATATTAATTTTATAAGGCATTAATATTTTATTATAAATATAAAGTATTAATATTTATAATTAATTAAAAAAATTAAAAAATTTTTTAAAAAAGAATTAATTAAAGAAATAGACAAAACCTCAACAATTAAAAAAAAAATAATGAAATAAAAATGTTAAATAACTATTTTATAAGATTAAAAAAAAATTATTGATTAAATATTTTTTTTGCGACTTTTTCGAGGATAAATGATTTTTGTTTACCCAAAATAACTATATATAAAGCTATATGCATACAGATATGTACATATGTACATATTTATGTTTACATTCACATATCTACATTTATTTTCTCGTAAGTTTTTATCAACTTGTACTTGTAGTCTCGCTATTACATTTTAAATTTTAAGTCTGCGTGTAAACGGATGTTCATGACCCCATAAGTAGGTGTTAAAAGCATATCGAACGCTTGGTAATTTGATAGCGCAAGCATAATGGTGTAACAGTTGGCGCCAGTAAGCATAATGCAAAAACAACAACAAAAACAATAATGAAATGTACGCCAAGTACAGGGTAAAAGGAGTGTAGTAAAATAGTAATGGAGTTACATGTGTGCATGTTTGCTTGTGTTTGTAAATTAAGAAATAAATAGTTTCCCATAGTTTAACACACATATGTATATACATATTTATGTATATATGGATAGCGGTTGTCAATGTCAAGTGGTTCAAATTTCAATAAAATTACAACCACTTGGGAGGTGTGAAGACGCAGTTACAAGAAATAATTTTCGCACATGTTTTATAATAATTTTTTTATTTTTTTAAAACAATTAAAACTTTTTATTACTTTCAATTTTTTTCACCTGAATTTTTCAATAGTTTTGGTATTTTATTAAAATTAAACACTTTAATAAAATTTTATTTTATTATTATTATTTAGAATATTTTTTTATATAATATTGTTTTAATATATATTTTTTATTTTTATTTCATTTTTGAAATTAAAGTTGTAGGGCTGCTTTTTATTGTAACTGCAATCCCTAAGATTCGTTCAAAATTCATACCATGTAACAATGTAGATGAAAAACTTCATTTAACACTCAGCAAAAAACGAGTTTTTTTCTCGGCAACATCCAGGTTCAAGTGCATAATGATATTTGAGCTGATCTTAATATGATAGGCTAAGAAGCCAATTTTGTTGTTGAAAAACATTTTTTTTATATTTTTGTAGCGCATAATTTTGTTTTGGCTAATTTCAAGCGCGCCCTTGCGTCGCTGGCTTCTAGCAAAATGTTGCAGAAGTGAAATGTATACATATTTTCAAGTACATAAACATATAACTAAACATTTGGAGAACTAAATCATAACCAAAATATGTCTATATTGATGATTGATAAATTTTCTAAAAAAAAAATTGTTTATTAATTAATTACATACAAGTATATTATAATTTAAATAATTAAAAAATTGTTACAATTTTGTGTTTTTAATTTCTCTAATTATACTCTCGCAACCTGTTGCTACAGAGTATAATAGTTTTGTTCACCTAACGGTTGTTTGTATCACCTAAAATTAATCGAGTTAGATATAGGGTTATATATATATAAATGATGAGTTGATTGAGTGATCAGGATGAAGAGATGAGTTGAAATCCGGGTGACTGTCTGTCCGTCCGTCCGTCTGTCCGTCCGTCCGTGCAAGCTCTAACTTGAGTAAAAATTGAGATATCTTTATGAAACTTGGTAGACATGTTTCATGGTACCGTGAGACGGTTGGTATTGCAGATGGGCGTAATCGGACTACTGCCACGCCCACAAAACGCCATTAATCAAAAACAAATAACTTGCCATAACTAAGCTCCGCAATAAGATACAAGACTGTTATTTGGTACACAGGATCACATTAGGGAGGGGCATCTGCAGTTAAAAATTTTTTTTTAAAAGTGGGCGTGGTCCCGCCTCTAATAGGTTTAATGTGCATATCTCCTAAACCGCTAATGCTATAATAACAAAATTCACTGGAAGCAAATGTTTTTAGCACTTCTATTGACGGTGTGAAAATAGTTGAAATCGGGTGGCAACTCCGCCCACTCCCCATATAACGGTACTGTTAAAAACTACTAAAAGCGCGATAAATCAAGCACTAAACACGCCAGAGACATTAAATTTTATCTCTGAGATGGTATAAATTGGCTTTATAGGAACCGCGTTCAAAATTAGACAGTGGGCGTGGCACAGCCCACTTTTAGGTGAAAACCCATATCTTGAGATCTGCTCAACCGATTTCAACCAAATTCGGTGCATAACGTTCTTTTCATGTTTCTATGTCATAGTGCGAAAATGGGCGAAATCGGACTACAACCACGCTTACTTCCCATGTAACACCATTTTCAATTCCATCTGATTCTTTCACATTCCACTATGCAAATCAGGTAAAAATGATTATATCGGGGTAAAACTTTGCGTGAATAATGCAATTAAAGTATGCCACCTTGCGGCCAAAAATTGTCTAAATCGAACCAAAACTGTTCAAACCCCTAAGTACTAAATATGTGGACCCCAGTGCCTATAGTTGACCTTCTACCGAAAATATCAGTCAATCCACAAAGAAATCTCAAACGAGTATACCATTTGACTTTGCGAGAGTATAAAATGTTCGGTTACATTCGAACTTAGCCCTTCCTTACTTGTTTTAGTTAAATACTTTTTAATTTTTTCATAGAAATTATAATTATTTGTTTTTTTTTTGTATTATTATATATACAAATACTCGGATAGCCACAACAACATATTTAATAAAGAAATTATAAAAAAATATTGTTCAGATCTTTAAAACTTGTTCAGATCCTAGAAACATGTATACATTCTATTTGTCGAACAATCTTTACATTTTTTTATTTTTTCCATTGAAAAATTTTACATAGCAACATGTATCAGCAACATTCAAAATAATTCTGTGTGTCATTATTGATCAACAAATTATCTAAAAGTGTTAACATATATTATTGTGCGCCTATTTTACTGAACTTATGACCATGTATCAGCAATATGTTTCAGCAACATGTTTAAATTTTTTTATGTTTACAAAAATTTAAAAAATTTTCCTACTATCTTTCTATTTAGCCACCAACAATCTTTACACTTTTAATTTCTATAGAAGTATTTTACGTAGCAACATGCCTCAGCAACAATAAAACATAATTCTATATGCATTCATGTTTAGCAAATTCTCTTAAAGTGGCAAAATCTTTTACATTTTTATTTACTCTTAACAATATCTTTCAGCAACTTGTATCAACAGCATGTTTCAGCAACATTTTTAATACTTTTCTCATATATTTTTTGATTAGTACACACAGACCAACTTATTATGTTTGCCAAAAATTATTATTTTCAATTTATATCCTTAGCAACATGTTGTTTGAATACTATTTTACGGTGTAACGTTATTTAAAAAGATACATTTATAATGCAAGTAAGTGTTCTTCTTGCAGAGCTTGTTTCCAACACGCTTTATTATAAATATTTCGCTAGTTAGGCAGGTATTTAGTTCCGGGAATAAGCTGATCTCTATTAGCAATATGTGTCTTGGCAACATTGCTTTTTTATGATAGTAAAAAAAATCTTAAAATAGAAACCAATAATATGCGTATAATTTTGTTTTTTAATTACTCAGCATTTAATAATACATTCTAATCATGCAGGCTTTCAGCAATACAGGTTATGAAAGTATTTTTTTACATTTTGCGCTTACTTAGCAACATGTTGCAGAACACAATAATTTTAAGAAACAATTAATTTTAAAATTGCTTCAATTTATTTTTCTTACTGTTACTAAACGTGTCAACTAATTCATATTTTCTCCCTCTCCCACTTGTTCGTTCCAGGAATTATGACACTGAGCCGTGGCCCGTACAGCGAGCTCGATAAAATGAGCCTTTTTCAGGATCTAAAACTGAAACGACGAAAAATCGATTCAAGATGCAGCAGTGATGGCGAATCAGTAGCCGATACCTCCACCTCCTCGCCCGATCTACTCGCACCGATGTCGCCGAAAATGTGCGATACCGGCGGTGCGGGCGCTGGTGGTGGTGGCGGTCATGGAGGTGGCGGCGGCGGTGCGCTGTCCTCCTTGCCGTTGCCCACCGCCGTCGTCACCTTGACGGCAACCTCCACCATTGCGCCCGTCTCTGCCGCAGCTGCCACTATATGCTCGAGCAGTAATGTGCCAACTGCCGCCAGCAGCAATTCCGGTCACAATGTGTGCGCGGCAACACCACCAAGCGCCACCACTACGGTGGTTGTATCCGCTGGCAAAGCTGCAGCCATAAAAGCAGAGCAGAAACATCAACAACAGCAGCACCAACAACAACAGACTGAAATTAACTCGTCCAGCGGCACTGTTAGCGCAGCAGCCGCCTCGTCCGTAATGTCACCGCCACCAACAACTACAGTGCGCATGTCACCTGCGCCGCCCACTGATCTGAGCTTGCCGGCAGGGCGTCGTACCCCCAGCAATGCGACGCCAACACGCGCCACACCAACACCACCGCATAATAATGGCAATGCGAGCAGTAGTTGTGGCACCAGCAATGGTGGGGGCAGCAGTCGCGCCTCACCGGATTCAATGGATGAGCGCCCGTCAACAACCACCACAACAACAACGGGTGGTACACAAATGTCCACAAATGGTATACATGGCGGTGCGAGTGGTGACTGTATGCAAAACGCTGCAGGTGCCGAGTGCGGCGTTAGCAATTTAAGTGTCATACGCTCGGTGAAGGAAGAGCGCATTGCCCACTCACCAACCAAAATGCTATCCTACCACCAGCATCAGCAGCAGCAACAACAGCAAATGCAGTATCAACAGCACGCGCCATCTCCAACACAATCCAAAGGTCTCACGCAGTCACAACAGCATGTTAGCGTGTTGGTGACGCCATCACGCATAAAGTCTGAATTGTCGACGCAGCAGCAACAGCATGTGCAGCAAATGCCGCCAACATCGCTACAACATCACGCGCATCATCCGGCTTACTCCACATCTGTGTCGACAGCGACCAGCTCAGTGACGTCGACTTCTGGCGCGATGACTACAACAACCAGCTCCAGCGCCGCAGCACTACACGCTAGCACGCCATCTCCGACGCCACTGCCTACACCGGCGGCAGTGGCAGCAGCAGCGGTGGCCGCCGCAGCGGCGCATCATCCGCACCTGCATCACCCGCCGCCACCCATCGTGCAGACGCATCACCTACATCAACAGCTCACACAACCGCAGCTGCGTAAGAGCAGTCCGCCAAGTGGCCTAGGACTACCGCAGCAACATTTACTCAACCAATCCATGCAGCATTTGACGCAACAGCAGCAATTGCAGCTGCTGCAGCAGGCAGCCGCTATGTCACAGCGCCCGACGCAAATGTCGCCAAATGCCATTAACTCATCGCCAAGCGCGCGACATCAGACCAGCGCTTCATCGCCGCATCAACATTTGTTACAGCAGCATCATCACCACCAACAACAACAACAACAACAGCAGCAGCAACAGCATTTACGCATTAAAAAAGAGCCAGCGCAGCTACTAGCCGCCGCCGCAGGCAGTTTATTGGGTAGCAGCGGTGGCGCGCAACGCCACTTACACTCGCCACATCACCATCACCCATCATCACCCCAACAGCAACAGCAGCAACCGCCACAGCAGTTACCACCACAAGCGCTGGGTAATATTGCGCAGCTGATACACCCTGCTTCGCTACAATTGCGCCATCCCAACCGCGATGCAGCTATACTTTTTCGTGTAAAGAACGAGGTGCATCAGCAAGTAGCCGCCGCGCAGCTCATGCAACCCGGCGCTGCTGCCGCCGCCGCAGCCGCGGCACAACGTATGGTTTGGGTCTCGAACGCGCGCATAAACGGCGTTAAACCAGAGGTTATCGGTGGTCCACTGGGCGGTTTGCGACCGGGTGGTCCAGCGCAATCGCCCTCGCCGCATCACTCTTCGTCCTCATCATCTTCACAACTGTCGCCGCAAACGCCTTCACAAACACCGCCACGCGGTACGCCCACAGTCATCATGGGCGAAAGCTGTGGCGTGCGCACAATGGTTTGGGGATACGAACCAGCGCCACCAACAGCCGGTCCATCGCCCACACATGGCGGCAACAGCAACAGCGGTAGTGGCGGTGGTCTGCATCAGACACCACCATCCACGCCGCAGCATTCACACGGCCAGCAACAACAGCAACCGCCCTCTTCTATGTCATCGCTCTCACAACAGTCACATCACTCATCACAGTCATCAATGCAGTCGGCGTCATCGCCATCCGCGGGCTCCATTACGCCCACGCATACGCCTGGACCGTCGCCGCAAAATAACGAAGAGGCCGCGCAACTACTGCTCTCACTGGGTCAGACGCGTATACAGGATGTGCGTCCGCGGCCACACCAATTTCGCACGCCGCATGCGCTCAATATGGAGCGGCTGTGGGCGGGCGATTACTCGCAGTTGCCGCCTGGACAGATACATGCGCTCAACTTGAGCGCGCAGCAGCAGTGGGGCAGCACGAATGCGACGGGCATGAATCGCGGCTTGGATACGCCGCACGAGCCCACGGACGAGGATGATCAGCCGCTGGTCTGCATGATCTGCGAGGACAAGGCGACCGGCTTACATTATGGCATCATCACGTGTGAAGGGTGCGTAATAAATGTCGGGGTCTCAAATGCAGTTATTTAATAATGTTGCCGTTATATTTTTTCCTTACAGCTGTAAAGGCTTTTTTAAGCGCACCGTGCAGAACCGACGCGTGTACACCTGCGTGGCCGATGGCACGTGCGAAATAACCAAAGCGCAGCGCAACCGGTGTCAGTATTGTCGATTTAAGAAGTGCATCGAACAGGGCATGGTCTTGCAAGGTACATACGACCACATATACACTTACTTATAACTATAAGAATCTAATTTGTTTTTTTTGTTTTTGTCTCTACAGCCGTGCGCGAGGATCGCATGCCGGGTGGGCGCAATAGCGGCGCCGTCTACAACCTCTACAAGGTTAAGTATAAAAAACACAAAAAGTCCAAGCAGCAGCAGCAGCAACAACAGCAGCAATCCCAGCAACAGCACATGCATTCACCACACCATCAATCGCCGCTATCACCACACCATCAGCAGCATCTGCTTTCACCGCAACAGCATCTGCATCAGCATCAACAGCAATTGGCGGCCGCTGCCGCAGTCGCTGCAGCCGCGCAGCATCAACACTCGAAGCTGATAAGTGCCACGCTGGGACAAAGTGAAATGAAGCCAATGTTCTTGGGCCCATCCATTAAGCAGGAGCTTCTACAGCAACAGCAACAGCAACAACATCAACAACAGCAAGCAGCGCAACTACATTCGCCACATCAGCAGCAGTTGCATTCGCCGCACCACACGCTACACGGTTCGCCGCACGGCGCGCTGCCGCCGCACTCATCGGCCAGCGCGTTGCACAGTCCGCTGTCGCATGGGCCGCCCTCATTACCGCCACACACCTCCTCCTCATCCTCATCCTCGTCGTCGGCATCTTCGGGTGGCAGCAGCAGCAGCTCACAGCAGCCATCACATCATGCGCTGCACTCGCCACATCATACGCTCGCGCATGCGCATCATCTGCAAGCGAACGCGTCACATACGTCGCCGCATGCACAACAGCTGCATCAGCAGCAGCAACAGCAACAACAGCAGCAGCAGCATCAACAGCACGTGCAGGCATCGCAGCTGCAGGAGACTGCCATCAAATTGCCCTCGCATTTGGTTAACGGTACAATACTTAAGACTGCCCTAACGAATCCCAGCGAAATCGTGCATTTACGAAATCGTCTCGATACCGCCGTGAGCTCGTCGAAGGATCGCCAACTCTCGTATGAGCATGCGCACTCCATGATCCAAACGCTGATCGACTGTGATGCCATGGAGGACATAGCCACATTGCCACATTTCTCCGAGTTTCTCGAGGATAAATCGGAGATTAGCGAGAAACTATGCAATATCGGTGACTCCATCGTGCATAAGCTGGTATCGTGGACGAAGAAACTGCCTTTCTACTTGGAGATACCCGTTGACATACACACCAAGCTGCTGACGGACAAGTGGCATGAGATACTCATACTGACCACAGCGGCGTACCAGGCCTTGCATGGCAGGCGCAGAACGCCTAGCACAACGACTCCCGGCGGTGGTGACACAACAACAGCGCAAGCCTCTTCCACCACCAGCTCGAGCGGCGGTCGTTCTAGCACAGGCGCGCCACCACACTCGCCCGCCTCAGCCAATCATCATCACAATCACCATCACATGAGCGGCTCACCGCATGCCACAAGTCTGAATTTACCACACCAGCTGCATCATCAACAAATGCAGACAGCAACGCCACCGCTGCAGAAGGAGGATCCAGAATTCGTGGACGAGGTGAATGGTCATTTGTTGACGCTGCAAACGTGCCTCACCACACTGATGGGCCAGCCCATTGCTATGGAACAGCTAAAACTGGACGTCGGTCATATGGTGGATAAGATGACACAGATCACGATCATGTTTCGCCGCATTAAACTCAAAATGGAGGAATATGTCTGTTTAAAGGTGTACATTCTGTTGAATAAAGGTAAGTAGCAGTAGTGAGAAATTGTGGCTGTTGTACTACAATAACAATGTAGCTCATCTTTTCCCTTTAGCAGAAGTGGAACTCGAGACCATACAGGAGCGTTATGTGCAGGTGTTACGCACTTATTTGCAACACTCCTCACCGCAAAACCCGCAAGATCGACTCACTGAACTGCTGTCGCACATACCGGAGGTAAGTTGAGAATGAAATAAAATTGAAACCCGTGAGCTTTCACTTAAATGAATGTACTGATTACAAACTCTGGTACCCGAAAAAAAAATCATATATGGCGCACTTAGTGGGAAGTGTGGGTTACTCCATCTAAGGTCACATCTAATAGGCTGATCGCTCAGAAAAGCATTCTAACTCATTGACCCGTTAATTTAGTTAATCCGTTTGCTGGCACTTCCTACATGCTGACCCCTTGGAAAGGTTTCCTAACTCTAGGGCTAATTTTTTTTGTTTTAGGCACCAAAAGTTTAAATTTGCAGCGTTAAGCGGAACGTTTCAGTTAATCGTCACATCTAATAGATTGACCCCTCAGACAAGCTTTCAAACTGTAAGGCCTAATGCTAATGCTCTCTATAGAGAGCTTACGGGCTTTTGATGAAAGGTCCACATTGAAACGTCTTATAAACCCAATATACCAGCCCTTATAGCATTTCTTAAATTAACCGCTCCTTTTCTTCTCAACAAACTCCACTAGATCCAAGCAGCCGCTAGTCTATTGCTCGAAAGTAAAATGTTCTACGTTCCCTTCGTTTTGAATTCGGCCAGCGTGAGGTAGCAAAGGCTTGAACGTGGATTACTGCCGATCGATGATGATTCGCCGAAGCCTAAGCGATTGATGATGATTATGCAACAACAGCAACAACAACAGAAGAATGACGATGAGCAAGCAGAGCCAAAAGTCGAACAGCAACAACAAGCAAGCAATTTAATGAAAGCGCGTAGACGGGCAGCCACCGAAATGGCTGAGCGTCAGCAAAGACAACAAGAAGATTTACAAAAGCAACAACGAGAGCAAAGTCAAAAGTCAGCGGCGGAACAACAACAACAGCAACCGGTAAGATTTTGTCTACCCATGTTGGAGTTACCTACAATCAAAGTAGAGAACGTGCAACAGCAGCACAGCTATTCTATGGATGAGGACGACGCCGATACGGACGAGGAAGAGTTATTGGAGCAAAGGCAACAACCACAGCAGCAGGCACAGAAGCCGAGTGCCGAGGAGAACGCATCATCACATATGCAATCGCCAACAATGGCGCGTTTAATGGAACCAACCACGTCGATACTAAAGACCTCATTGCTAGCAGGCGCGGCGGCAACACTAGCAACGCTGACAGCTGCCGCGGAGCAGGTAAATCGCAAAGCACAATCACCACAAGCGCATAGCGGTAGAGTGAGCGCGCGCGCATTGACTGCACAACAAACGCCGGTGGCGGATAATAGTCTGACAGAGAGTAAAAGACTGCAAACACAACAACAACAACAAGAACAACGCGAACAGCCTAAGCCCGCAATGCCTTATAAGTCCATACTGCAGACGGCGCTTATGGGTGAGCGGCCACCACAGTCGCAAACGCCGCCACCGCCGTCGACAGCTGCAACGAAATTTATGCGCGCATCCGGTGCGCACGTGGGCTTACAAACAACGACGCCACCGCCACCACACGTCCTGAAGACCGCAGTTACGCTAGCAAGTCTCAGCGAAATTGCGGCAGCGCGTCAGCAGCAGGAAGAGGAAGAGCGCCGTTTACGTGAACAGCAGCAGCAGCAACAAAAAAAGCAGCATTTATTGTTACAACAAACACTGCCATTGAAGAAGAAGAAGAGTTTTCTGCAACAAAAGTTAACAGCGACATGCAACATGCTGACAACAGCGGCAACGTTATTGCAGCAACAACAACAACAGCAACAGAATATAATTACCATACTGCCAATTGAAGCCAGCAACAACAACCAAACTGCCATCTCAGCTGCAAATGCTGCTACAACCAATACAAAGTACGTATTAAATAATATGAGCGCGGGCGTATTGCGCTGTGCTTCGACCGCAACAGCAACAACCACGCGCTCTACTGGCGCTTTTGTTAACAACATGCGAAGCGGCGCGTGCGTCACAGAAACTGCGTGCAACAACAGCAATTCGAAAAATGTTGCCAGCTGCTGTCAAGCGATCGCTACACAAACCATAAAAATACCAACAGTGCGCACGGCGACAGTGACAACGCAAACGCAAACTGATGAAATGCACTCCGTCGCCGCTGCTACAACAGCAGCAGCAACAAGCGGTGCGCAGACGCCGTTGCACGCATTAGCGGCCAGCAGCCATGTAATTACGCGCAAACTAAGCACCGCTCTACAACAACACGAAGCAATGGCGAGCGCTGCTAGCGGCAGCGCAGCGACAACATTGCTCTCACTGCCGACGCAACAGTCCTTTGTGACGCGTCGCGTCTCGCCACAACGCCAAACCACATTAGTTACTGCCACCACAACGAATGCGAACACGATTAGTGCCGCTCCGCCCACATCTACTGCCACTGTCACTGCCACAACCACCGCTGCCCCGCCCTCCACAGCTGTTACTGTTGTTGTTTTTAAAACATTGTTACCTGATGACTGAATTAATTAATTTTTAATTATTAGCAAAGCGAAAATGAAAAAAAAAATGCTGAAAAAGCTTTTGCAGAAAGCTCACCACATACGAAGTAATATGTCCACTCGTAACACCGCGTTAGCCGTTTTGTTCACTACAATTATAGGTAAACATATTTGTTGTAGGGTGTAAGTATCACAACTCCTAATGAAAGTCCTTATCATGTGCATACACATTTTGAAAGTAAGCTCAAAGAGTAAACTAATCCCTATTATTTGGCGTTTTTAGCAAAAATTCACTTGGGTTTGGAGCAATCTCAAGACTATATAAAAGTTTTCTAAAACCAATATTAGCATGGAAAACGCTTAACGATATATTTATGAAAGCTTGAAGAGCAAGTTGCACACCATTATAAAGTTAAATTACTTATTAATATCTAAATGCCATGAAGCTTTTCAAGCGAAAGTTGTTTTAAAATACTTTTAAAATTTACTGAAATTGACTGTCAATTTATCTTTTTGAACTGAGGGGAAATTGAGAGTTTCATTAAAATTATTTGAAAGCTTTGGAGAGAGCTTTAGTTATTTAAATTTATACGTTTTTCCTCGAAAATTTACTCAAGGCTTTTCAAATAAAATTTTTCTTAAAATCCTATGAAAGTTTTTTGAGAGCTTTTAAGTGTCAGTTTAGCAAAGTTTTCGAAGTGATAGGTAATTGAGAGTTCCATTAAAATTTATTGCTAACTTTTGCGAGAGCTTTAGTTATTGAAATTTACACTTTTCGTTACTTATTGGTATCTTATTAATTTTTTTTTTAAATAATTAATTTTTGTAATCTTTTTTTGTATAACTTTTTTAAATTGTGTTAATGAAACCTTCAAAATTGTTATTACTTTGTTAATTAATGTACTTTTTTAGTTCTTTTTATTATTATTTGTTTCTTACATATTTACTTATTTTAATGTTTTGATATTTTTTATGCAATTATTTCACACCTTTAAGCTTTCAATATTATTTTAAAAGTTTTTTTTTTAATATATACTTCTTTTAAATTCTTTTAGTTTATTTTAAGGTCTTCATTTAAATATTTTTTTGTAAAATATATTTTTTAAACAGAAATGTAATATTTCTTTTTATATTTTATTAATTGTTGTAAACTTTTTTTTATTAATTTTTTTTTAATATTTTAAAATTTATTTTTATTGAGTGCATTTTACATTTTTGTCTAAAATATTTCTCTAAACAAAAATATATTATTTTCCTTTATTTTTTATTAATTGTTGTAAACTTGTTTCAATAAATTTACTTCTTTTAGTATTATAAAATTTATTTATTTTTTTTGTCAGAAATGTTTCTTTAAACTAAAAATTATTATTATTTTTAATATTTATTAATTGTTGTTATTATTTTAAACCGTATCTTTGATATTACTTATTCAAACTGTTTTAAATAATTATTTTTTTGTTTTTGTGTTTGGTTTTTTTTATATATTTTTTTATAAATTGTTGTTATATTTTATAATCATTACTTTCTGATTATTCTTAAATTAAAATTTATTTTTATTTTTTATATTTTTTCAAAAACACGTTTATTTTGCTCTTAGTGAACCACTAATGCTCCTCCAAACCCGTAAAAAAAATTCCAAATAAAAACAATTAAAAAATGTCCTTTCTTCAAGGCCTACAGCATACCAAATGAACTTTGTAAAAATTGATTTGAGCTTTTGCTTTTGGTTAAGTTACCACTTTTCGGTAAAAAAAATTAACTATTTTCATAGTTTTGAAAAACAAATAAATAAAATTTTGCTATAAAATTTCTTGCAGTGCATGTTACATAAGCAGTCGGAAATTGCGCAAAACTTTGACTTTCAACATAAATATTAATGCTTTTTTGCAAAACCTAACAATTTATGGACTTTTCAGTGTAATTATTTTTAAAATTAATATGTATTTAATATTTAAGCATACAACAAAAACCGTAAAGTCGCGGCTAGTTGCCACAAAGGCTTTGCGGTGAAGGACAGATGGACTTTTTAAATGTTAATAAGAAAATAGTGTGTAATTTTTATACTAAATATATGCATACTTGTGTATCTAAATGCATGAGTGTTGGTGAAACGGTGGAAAAAAGTATGAAAAATGAACAACAAGGTTTTGGAAATATATGAAAAATTTCACTGAACAATTTTTCACTTTTTTGTAAGGAGAAATAAAATATACATACAATATATAACAGTAAATTATGTCTATTTAGCATAGAAAATAGTTTTTAAGTAAAAAAATGTTAATTAATGTAGTAAAAGTATAATTAGGAAAAAAGCAGTTGCATAAACGGAGTGAAAATTATTGTGGAAAAAATTTAATTTTAGTGACTTGCAATTATAATGCGTTAATAAAAAAAGCTAGCATAACGCATAAAAATGTACTTGTGGTAATTATAATACATGTGAAAGTGAAAAAATAGATTTTGTGCAGAAAATTATTAGTGTTAAAAATAAAACAAGTTTAAGAAAAAATTATAAATAAGAAATAATTAAAGAAAAAATTAAGAAAAATATAATATAATTAAAGAAAAATTAATATTATTAAGAAAAATAATTTTATTTAAATAAAAATTAAAATAATTAAGAATAAATTAAAATAATTAAAGAAAAATTTAAATAATTAAAGAAACATTAATTACGAAAAAACTAAATAATTTAAGAAAAAAAATTTAAATAATTTATAAATTAAGCAAAAAGTAAATGTAATGTTTAATACAAATTATGTAAATTAAAATAAAAATAAAAATTAAGTTTGAAACTTTTTTATAAAATCAAATAAAATTGAAATTTTTGTTAAAAAATGTGTATTTACATGAAAAATTATCATTAAAGTGTAATTGCATATATTATAATTTGTCATAATTAAAAAATAAAAAATAAAATTACATATATTACAAATAAATAAAAAAGCAATTAGCGCCCAAATGTATGCAATTAAGTGCTCTATGCTGTAATTTGTTATTTATATGTATGTTAAAGTGAGCAAGTAAATGGAAAATTGTTAGCCAGTAAGCATATTACCAACCATATATACATAATATACATAGTACATACATGCATATATACATACATACATATAATATTTAAAAGAAAAAAATAAATAACGAAACAAAAACGTTGTAGTTGTAAACTAAGCATTTGTACAATACTTCTTGAGCGTTTCTTTTCCCTAAGCGTTTTGTTTTTGTTTAATTTTTTTTGGAGAAAAGGAAAGCGAGCAAGGGAGCAGAGCCGTAAACTAGAACCAGCTAAACCACGCCCACATGCCTAAATGCATGCATACACATGCCGTTATATTTGTATATACATATCTATATAAGCAACTGCATGTATATATATAAGTGTATGTATGCTGGCATATACATAGAATTACCATAACACATATGTATGTATGTAGTTGTGTGTATGCCAATTGTAATTATATACATGTAGATATATGCATAGCGATAAATTAGTGTGTTAAGCGTGTTTTTTTCCTATTTACTAAATGCACATACACACACACACACATGCATACACATATACACCAATATGCATAGATAAAGAATATAGTATATTATATATTATACATACATATAATATATAAAGCGCATTTCCAATTAAGTAAATGCCTAAATACACACATACATATATACAAAAAATGAAAATAATTCATTAATTAATGCATAAATATATATGTAAGCGTAGGTATACATATATGTAAATAAGCGTGCATATGTAATCATTTATATATATGAATATGTATATATAAGCAAAAATTATACACATTTACACATAGCAAGTTATACACACACATACATACAAACATGCATTTTAATTATAATTATTGCTAATTATATATATGTGTTTAAGCTAGCTGTTAATTGTGTTAAGCATATACATACTATGTTCTACTATATATATATATATATATACATACATACATACATGCATATGAGCATAAAGAATTACCATATACCTTTTATCTCGTAAGCAAAAAGAATTTAAACTTAAAACAAAACAAAAAAGAAAAAACAAAAAAACAAATTGAAACTGATGAAATGCCGCCTATGTTGTATTCTGTGTAAAGTGTTGTAGTTGCCTAAGTGTTTGCTTTTAATTAAAATTATTGTAATTTTTAATTGTTTAAATGTCTGTCATTACTTACATACATAGAAATACATAGTACATGCATAACTACATAAAATACATACTAAATACATACATATATGAAAAAAAAACAAAAACAAAAAACTTATTGCATTCAAGCATTTTTTCGTCACTATCAGTTGCTGTTACATTACATACATACATACATATAAATTGCATACTTATCACATATGTACATGTGCTTATACTTAAATAAGTTCTACATTTAGTCTTTAACGTTTTTTTCCTTCCTACCGACCAAAATTTTGCTTAAGAACTGCATTTGTTTCACTACAAAACGGTGTCATAGCGGATGACTTAGTGCGCCAACTTCAAATTTGATATAAAAGAGCAAGCTTGCTAACTTTCATAGCAGTCTGTATTAGTTCTAGAACTTTCATTGCTATTAAGGAGCTTTCAGTTTTTCTAAGAAGCTTTAATTATTATTAGAAAGCTTTCATTACTGCTAGAAAACTATTACTGTAGAAAACTATTACTGTAACTAAAAAGCTTTCAGCTTCTCGAAAGCTTTCGGTGATATTAAAAAGCTTTCATAGGAAAACATCACCATTCGGAGGAAGCTTTCAAGGATTTGAGCTTTCACTAAGCTTTTGATGAAAGCTTTTGAAACATTTTAACTTTGACTAAACTTTTCTTAAGCAGATTTTTAGGAATTAAGCTGTCATCACTTTTCACTATTTTTCTTAGAAAGAAACCAACATGAAAAAGCCTTTGAATCATTTGAACTTTAAGCAAACTAAGCTATCATACTTTTATGAAATGAAAATTTATTGAAACATTTAAATATCACTGATAATAAACAGTATTTCAAAAACTTTTCGCCCTGTTAAAATACAATCTGACGGTAGAGCTCCTCAAAAATTTAAAGTTTTATGAAAGCTTAAATGGAAAATCATACAAAGTTTTAAAAAACATGAAAGCTCAAAGTCCAATATTTTCTTAGTAAATTTTGTATTTTTGCCAAACTGAGATAAAATTGGGTGCGAGAAAATATAAAAGGAAATTTAACCCTTGTAAACAAAAAAATGTAAAAAGATGTCATCAAAGCATGAAAGTTCCAAAATTAAAATATAGTTAGAGAAAAACTTATAAATGCCTGAAAGCTACATTTTTTTTTTTATAAAATTACTGGTACAAGGATTTATTCTGAGTTAAAATCAGGCGAGAGCAAAAATATTTTAGTGAACCAAAATATGCAAAAGCTTCCACCGAACTATGAAAGCTCAACTTATGGAAATATTTTCTGAAATTAAAACCTAGTATTATCACAAACTTCTAACGAAAACTCAATGGCATTCAATTAATTCAAGTGCACATAAACTTTGATTTCTATTGCT